TATATATATATATATATATATTTTGTGAGAATGATACAAATTAGAAAAAAAGCTAGGAATGGGACTCAAAAGACGTTATTGCCCATCTTCATTAAATAATAATAAAATTAATTATAATAAATCCAATCATGTCTCGTAACAAATGCTACATAATGAAAATGGTTGTTTACACTACTCCAAAGTGATTAGGATTATAAGCAAAGAATCATTTACACTTCAGAATAAAACACTTTGAAAGCAAACAAAAGAAGAAAAAAGGAATCAGTCAAACATATTCTCAACCTATGTGGTTTCCTTTACTTGAGTATCCTCCTATCAGATTTATGCAGATCTCTGTTGATTCATTAAATACTATATTCAATCACATGAATCATGTTACTTGGAGATTCCTGGTCTACAAATGATAAAAACTTGGGTTATATGCAAATAAATAGCAATGTATGTACTTTATTACATCGTATTTTCAATTCTTCTTATTACAACATTCTAGTTTCAAAATCTACCCAAATATAAAGCAATTTTCACTGGTATAACTAGATAGATTTTTCAAAGTACAATGTCCAAGTAATAAAAGAAAATTGGAAGTATAATAATACTATAACTAATTAGATATTTAAAAGTATACTGCCTTAATAATTAATAATAAAAAATAAAAAATACAACACTGTAATGGAAAGAAATAAAAGTGAGATGTAAAATGCACAAATAGTTGAAAGTACCTTATTATTTCTTTAATTTCACCCTTGAGAGTTTTAAATTATATAAAGAGTTCTACTACCTGAAGCAAGGAAGTTAATTCCTTAAATTACACCATAACTTTATTTCTATATAAACCCAACCACCTTATAATTCCTTAACAACACAACACAACTAAAACCAAAACCTATCCTTAAAAAATGGAGTCATTCTCTAACTTTATGAAGGGCATCCCATCACTTACTACCGAAAAGAAGCCCTTAACACCCCTCACAAACCCAATGCAACAACAAAAGCAAAACCAGATGGTGGGTCCCATACATAATCCAGTGCAGCAGCAGCACACCAGAAGTGATGGAAACTCGATCTTTAGTGCATCTGATGACAATGTGATAATGAAGCAAGTTATTGATACTCATCTCCCTGATGGCACCGATGTTGATGTCAGACCTCTTCTTGATATCATACAAGACATCCTTCGACATGCTACCATCAATGCTGATCCCGTTTCATCGGTATTATTAATTACTATTTTACACATCTATTAATCTAAAATTACATTTCTAATCATTTGTAGTTCTTTTATCCGGGGTAGGGTCCACATACAAATGGAGATAAACTGAATGGTAAACCAAATCAGAACAATGCCATTATGATGCTCCATTCACTTTCTCATATAATCGACAAACTTGCCAGCGAGGTATAAAAAGTTAAAAACTCAATCTTCTACATGTCTTTTTATGTCATTTTACATATATCAACTAGTTTTATAAAAACTGACTGATATCAACTAATTTTATTTACAGATGGCGTTCAAGTGCTTAACGGTTGCAGATGGACACACGACAGCCCTTGCGTTATTCCACACTGTTGGAAACTTCCATTGGGATGCAAAACTGGTGCTAACTCTAGCAGCTTTTGCTCTCAACTATGGAGAATTCTGGCTTCTGGCTCAAATCTACTCATCAAATCAACTAGCAAAATCTATGGCAATCCTTAAACAAGTTCCAACAATCATGGAGCATACGGCTCCATTGAAACCTCGATTTGAAGCTGTTAACAAACTAATCCATTCAATTCTGGAACTTACAATATGTATTGTCCAATTCAAGGAGCTTCCATCTATGTACATAACTCCTGATATGCCAGCCATGTCATCAGCAATCAATACCATTCCGACAGCTGTCTACTGGAACATCAGAGGCATTATCACTTGTGCTACACAGATTGCTCACTTGACTAGCATGGGCCATGAGTAAATAAACTTTAACCCCATTTAACAAAATAACATTTATAATGTACATACACTTATAAAGTTATGTTATTTCAGGTATGGGATTTCATCAACGGAGATGCAATCATGGGAACTATCATCATTGACTTCAAAGATTGATCATATGCACGAGTTTCTCAGGCGACAGTTGGAGAATTGCAATCGTGTTGTTGGTATGTTATAGATCCATTAACCCAAAAAAGATTTGATTACTTATATGTAAATGATAACGGGTACCTTAAATGTTATTCTTTTTTGGTTGATGCAGGAGAAAAGAAAGAAATTGAATTCAGGAGGTCTTTCAATCAGCTGTTTGAAACAAGCCATATGGATAACATGAAAATCCTCAAAATCTTGATTAGTTCAAGGGATGATATACAACCACTCTTCGATGGCAATACAAAGACGAGGGTATACTATCAACACTTTTAATATTTATGATTTTGTTATTTGAGGAGGACATTTACATCTTTTCCGCACACAGGTCAGTCTGGAAGTCCTAAGGAGGAGGAACGTGCTGTTGTTGATATCTGGGCTAGACATGTCTCGTGAGGAGCTTTCAATTCTTGAAGAAATTTACAACGAGTCCCGCATTCACGGATCAAGGACGAATGCTCTTTATGAAGTCGTGTGGATGCCCATTGTGGACCCCTCTGTAAACTACACCAATGAAATGGACACAAAATTCGAGGAGATGAAGGAGAAAATGCCATGGTACTCTGTGTCCCACCCTTCAATAATAGACAAGGTGGTTATCAGGTGCATAGGAGACAGGTGGCACTTTAGGAAAAGGCCTATATTAGTGGTGTTGGACCCACAGGGAAAGGAGTTGAGCCCTAATGCAATCCACATGATGTGGATTTGGGGCAGCAATGCCTTCCCTTTCACCTTCATGAAAGAGGAACTGTTGTGGAGGGATGAGACTTGGAGGCTAGAGTTGCTCGTTAGTGGCATGGACCCCACCATAGATAATTGGGTGAGTTAATTCTTCAAAAGAATAATCTTTTTCAAATATTGTTAATTTTATGTGATAAATGGGTGTAAATGTGTAACGCATTTTTTTTTAGATAAGAGAAGACAAAAACATATTCATGTTTGGAGGCGATGATATCGAGTGGATACGCAAATTCACAACCACAGCTAGGGCAATGGCGACTGCTGCCCGAATCCCATTAGAGATGGCGTATGTTGGAAAAAGCAAGAAAAAAGAAAGTGTACGTAGGGCTGTTGCTACCATTAATGTGGAGAAGCTTAGCCACAGCTGGCAAGAACCAACCCTAATGTGGTTCTTTTGGACACGTTTAGAGAGCATGTTGTACTCCAAGATTCAACTAAAAAAGGCTGATGATCAAGACCCCATGATGCAACAGATCAAGAAACTTCTAAGCTATGACAAGGATGGATCATGGGCTTTGTTGTGTAGAGG